TGATAGTTTGCTTTTTCTTCATTACTTGGAAAATGTAATAAGTCAAAAGATCGATGGTCATGAATGGCGATATTTTATATTTGATCTGATAATATAGATAAGGATCTTTTGCTTCTCTTTATTAGCTTACGGGTGTGTTTGATAGTAGCGGTTGTGAACCTTTCCTCATTGCACGAAAAACAGAGTGATAGATTAGCATATACTCACTCCGTTTCACAATGTAAGTCATTCTAGCATTTCCCATATTCATATTAATGTTAATAAATCTAGATAGATATATATGTCTAGATTCATTAACATCAATATGAATGTGGAAAATGCTAGAATGACTTACATTGTGAAATGGAGAGAGTAACAAATTAAATATTAGCTAAAAATTGAAAAATAAATTAATATAAATTTTAAAGAAACTTTCCTATATATCTTTTTAATAAAAAACATATCGTTTAGCAGTTCGGGAAGCTATGAAAAAAACAAAGACAGTATAAGTTCGGAAGAGGTAGTATAGAACATGCAAGTCTATTGATAAATTGATCGGTGCATGCAACCTAGCAAATTAGGGAAATATAGTCACCCTTCTTCTTCACTTGCTTAAACTTTTAGGTAAACCGACTAATGTAATGTAAGTGACTTTAATGTTTTGGATTACTTAAAGGGCGATGAAGTTGCGCATGAGTCTAACACCCCGCGGGAGCCTGGATTGTCAAGGGCTCCTTCCTTTTGATATTTTGAGGGGTTGTTGAGTTCTCTACCCAAATTTGCCCTTCCTAATAAGAAGGTAGTGCTAATATGACCCTCGGCCCTTGATCCATTTAATCGGTCAAAAAATAAATTTCACAAAACCTAGTATATTTGTTTCAAGTAGTACAAAACTAAATGTTTGGAATATTGCGTATCATTAATAAAAAACATTTTTTTCCAGACGTACCAAAAATGGTTTTTGCATGTGGAACTCTAGCCTGTCTATCCGAAAGGATATGCAAAAATCGCTCTTTTTTCATGTGGGTGCTTTATGTCGTCCGCACGCAAAAATAAAAATCCAAATAATAATAAAAAAACTAGCTCCACCGTCAGATCCTCCCGCCGCCGCCCGCGGATCTGGTCGTCATGGGCCCGGTGGAGGCGGATCCGCCCGTCACCGCCGGCCGCGCCCACCGCCTGCCGCCATCCATCGTCGGCCGCGCCGCCCACCGCCGGCCGTGAGAGAAGAGTGAGAGAGGAGCGCCGCTCGCGACAGAGGAGTGGAGAGAAGAAAAAGAGGCGAGAGAGTTTAGTGGAAAGGAGGTAAGAGAGATGAATGGATAAGAATGAAAAATTTTGAAATGTTAAGAGGGAAATGAGGAGGTAACTCGGACTTTAGGTGATTACTTAAGAGGTCCGTCTGCGAAAATATATTTTCGTGTGTGGCCCATTAAGAGGTCCGCCTGCAAAAATAAGCTTATTTTTGCGTGCGGACCCTTAAGAGACCCGCTTGCGAAAATTGATTTTTCCGCAAGGTCCTCTTAAGAAGCCGTATACGAAAATAGAGGACGATTTTTGTAGATGCGACTAGTTATGGTCCGTCTGCAATCTAAAGAGGGTCTCGTCCAAAAAATTCATTTCTGTAGCAGTGTATAACCACATATATTAGTATTATGGTTATATAGTTTGTCAAACATTTTCTTAACCTATTGTACATTTGAATTCTATACTTATATTCAAAATTTGAGTTCGTTCAATCCATCGCCAAAATATTGGAGTATAGCCATGTAAGTAAAATATTTTTTCTTATGCTACAATATCGAGTAAAACTAGTTAATGGTGCGGTTTTTTGAAACCTTAAGACCATAATAACTGCAGTTATATATGTGACATGTCCAAACTAACAAGGTTCTTTTACAACTCAAGCCATAATAATATAATACATACATGTGAATCTATAAAATTTACTCAAAAGAATTTATTGCCAAAAAATTGGCTAACAAACTGTCAATTTGAGTCTAAGCATACCTCCTATACATGAGTTTGTGCCTTTCGGTATATGGAAATACCATATAGCCAATAGTATACGTGAATGTATCCTTTTATTAAGAAAATACGATGAATAGAGAAGGAAATTATCTTCCTAAAATAGGAGGCGTTAGAGTTATAGTCGGGAAGATAATGCCTCCTTAGTCCGTATCATATTCTATCTCTCCGAATTCTTCTTGGAGAGGAAGATGATGTTCGATATAATACAAGACCCTAGAAGGAGAGGGAACATACCAACAAAATACAAGCCAATACAGATAAGAGCTATGAAGGCTGACATGAGGGATTAGAGCTACCTGCAATCTCGATGAGTTCATATTCAAAGACGAATACTACACTAGCTGTCGACTACGTGTGAGAGCTACATGATGTCAAACCGACAAAAAAAACTAGATTAGGTGATCCCAAATATTATACTCATGTGATACTGAAGGTAGACTAGATTAGGTCATCCTAAATACTGTACTCATGTGATACCGAGGCTATTACCTGTCAGTTAAGGGGCCCGAACCTATATAAAATTCTGTCTCCTATCTCTTTTTACCGTAATCTCGCATATACCTTGGTTACAACGACAGCCATACTATAAATACAGTAGGCGAGTATAACCCGTCAATACAAACCCCACTAATTAAAACGCAAACATTTCTATTTCTTTTGAACTCCGCACGTCTCAATTTTTTTGGAGAGGAAAAGAACTTTCCATTAACTTAAGGACTCAGCAAAATCGCTGGCCACCAAGTCCTCCATGCCCGGAGGCATACTGTCCCATGGTTCAACGGTATTCCGAGGACATTTACAACCCAAAGCTGCTAAAGCATGCGCTACTCTATTACATTTTTGTGGTGCAAAAACAAAGAAACAGGAAAGGAAACTACTTCCAATCAGCTATTTCGTTGAATATAGTATTTTACCAAAATTTTTGGGAACAACATATTGTACCAATTTCGTTGAATATAGTATTTTACCAAAATTCGTCAAAATCTGTATAGACCTGTACGGGCAATAAACCAAAGAAATCCTTTTTCCAAAGGAAAAAGTACACCGAAGGTCCCTCAACTTGTCATCGAGTTACAAAATCGTCCCCTAATCACAAAACCGGATACAACGCATCCCCTAACTTACAAAACCAGTGCAAACTAGATCCCTCGGTGGTTTTGACTCCGGTTTTAACCGACATGATAGCTGACTTAGCGTGGGACCCACGTGAGCCCCACATGTCAGCGTGGCCACCTCAGCCTCCTCTCTTCCCCCTATTCTCTCCCTTCCTCCTCTGTCCCTCTCTCTCACTTCGCCGAACAACGGACCGATGCCGGCGGCGGTCCAGAGCAGCAGTCGTGCCTCCGCACCCACCACCGCGGTGGCGCCCGCTTCTACCTTCGCGCCCACCGCCGTGGCGGTCGAGCGGTCCACGTGGTGGTGCGACGTTGAGCGGCCCGGGACAGCGGCGTGGCGCCGGTGGCGGTCGAGCGGCCTGGGCTGCCACCATCGTCGTCCGTATGCAACCAATCGCAAATCTGGGGATGAATCTATTGATGGGAGAGGGAGACGACGAGGCACGTTGCTGCATCAAGACAGAGACAAGGAGCACCGGTCACCAAGGACATCGGGCTAGCAGTAGGCGGTGGTGCATCGTGTGTGTCTTTTCATCACTGAAGTCTTGTGGAGATGAAGAGTTGAATACACAGAAGATAAGCGTGCGCTGTGGGGCAGCAAGGACGGCGTGCAGCTGCCACCGACTTTCGCCCCCACAACGCTTGTCACGCTGCCTCGGCCGGCCTCCGCCGCCGCTGACCGTGCGCTGTACCCTATAGGTAGCCTCTCCATGCCGTCCGGGTCGAGGTGCACCGCCGCCGCGTGAGAGCCCTCCCCATCTCTCCTTTTCTCGAGCTCGGCTCGCCGGACCCGTGTTGTCATCGTCGCTGTCGCTGTCCGCTTCCACCCACCAAACGCGTCCCTCTCCTTCGACGGTGGGCACGTCGTGCGCGCATGCGGGGTGGGAGGAACGGCGTGACAAGACGGACGGCAAAGAGTATATGGGCACGGCGGACGCGGGCGGCTGCCGATGAGGGAGGAGATGCCACCGGCGGCGGCGGCGGCGGCGACTCTCCGCTGGCTAGCGTCCAGCCCGCGGTGACAACGACGGCCGCACGCCGCACTCCCCCACACACCCCGCGCGCGGCGCCCGACGCCTCCGACATGCCGCCGCCCACGACCGCGAACCACCCGTAGCAACCCGGCCCTCAGCCCCTCGTCCGCCTCCTTCGCCGACGACGACGCCGCCCGACGCACACGCGGTCGAGACTGCCTGCTAGCCCCTGCCCGGTTTTGCAGTTTTCACCAACTCGCCGGGAGCTCGCTTCGGAGGATGAAGACGACGCCGACGCCGCACGCGAACGAAAGCGAGGTCGCAGCCCGCCTCGCTCGCCTGCTCCGCGGTTCTCCTGCGCATGCGGCGAACAGCTCCGCGGTCGGGGCACCCGCCGAGTCCATCGCCGCCGCGTGGCCCCTTCTCCCGTGTCGCCGCGCCGCCGTGTCGCCCCTTCTCCCGCGTCCCCGCGTCACCTATCGCCGGCGCCGCCCAGCTCCTCCCCCGCTGGCGCCGCCCAGTTTTTACGCACCAGCCATCCGCCGCGCCAGCCGAACCGTACCCAGCTGGCCAGCTGCTTTCGTGGGAGGAGAGAGAGGAAGAGAGGTGGAGATGGGAGGGGAAGTAGAGGCTGACACGTGGGACCCATGTGGGTCCCATGCTGAGTCAGCTGCTACGTCAGTTAAAACCGGAGTCAAAACCGTCGAGGGATCTAGTTTTCACTGGTTTTATAAGTTAGAGGAGGTATTATATCCGGTTTTACGGTTCGGAGACGATTTTGTAACTCGATGACAAGCTGAGGGACCTTCGGTGTACTTTTTCCTTTTCCAAATTGTAACGGGCCGAGTGGGCCGGAAATGGCATGAACGCCAACTTAACGCATTTCCATTTTCGAAAGAAAAAAAAAACCACACGAATTCCCAATTTCAAACGCCGATCTCTCCGTCTCGCCGGCCACCGCAACCACCCACCCACCCACTCTACCACCCATGGACCACGCCGCCGACCACCTCGACCCGGCGGCGCCGCCGTCCGGGCCCGCCTCCTCGTCCGCCGCCGTCGCCGAGGTCAACGCGTGGTTGGCCTCCCTCGCGGCGGAGGCCGGAGGGGCCGGGGGAGGCGGGGTCGGGGCTCCGGGAGGGCGCGGCGGCGTCGTCGGCGTCGGCGGTGGTGGGGCGGCACCGGAGCTCTCGCTGGGGCCCGAGCCCACGCCGCGCGGGGTGGCCTACCTCCGCGCGCTGGCGGCCGCGTCGCAGGCGAGGTCCCGCGCGGCGGGGATCGCGGCCGCGGGGCTGCGCGCGCAGGCCGCGGAGTACCGCGCCGAGGCGGCGCGCCTGCGGGAGGCGCTGGAGCGGGCAGGGCTCGCGCGGGACGCGCTCTCGCCGCCCGCGGCCGTGTCCGCGCGCGCCGTGGCCGCCGTCGCCAACCTCCTCGCCATCCGCGACACGGAGATGAGCAGGTGGAGGGGGCTAGGGTTCTCAGTTTTTCTTCTTCTTCTTCTGCGTGCTTAATTCTCGAATGAATAAGACTATTTGTTCTGCCATTCGCATTGCCAGTGAGAGATATGAACATCTAACAAGTCGATCTGTTTAGCATATGCGGTTTTATCCTCGGCATTGGGTGAACTTCGATGAAGTTGTAATTCCAGTAGGCAGTTCTGTTATGCGTAATGCTGTTAGTTTAGTAGGCCAAATAGCAGGAACATGTAATATGTCTGGAGCACATGCTAGTTTAGCTTTCATGTTTGGTTCTAATGCAGACAAAAACTTAGTTTGGGATGCATTATTGCAACAAGAAACAAACAATTTGATGGTGGAGAACAGTAATGTTAGGCTTCATACTTTCATAGTGAGTGTTCTGGTGATTCTTTCCTTTTGTTTTCATTGTTCTCTGATTACTTTGAAATGGTGGTTGTGCAGCTTTGTTGTGGCCAGTGCGGACCTGTCGCTGAGGAGAGCAGAGGTGGAGGAGAAGAGGGACAAGGTGCATAAGGAATCAAAGGCGCTTCTTGATTACACAAGGAAGGCCATCACCAAGCTTACTGAGCTCAAGAAGTGAGTGGAAAACTATTCACTTTCAGTATACTTAAGGAGATTTGTGCAACCACTTATATCTCTTGAGGAAAATATAATGAACAATGTATCATTTGAAGGATGCTGGAAAAATTTAAAAATGATGTGGAGAAGCAACAAGCAGAACAGATGACGGATTGGCAGACAAAGTTGGTTATGATGGACTCAAAGGAACGCCAATATATACTCCAAGTCTCCAATTATAAGGTGACTAGTTTTTCTTCTTTTGCAAGTGGTGTAATCAGTATATGGTTTTAGTTCTTCTTTTGACCTGATAGTTTTGGCCGACTACCACTAAACAAAGCAGTTTCTGTTGCTGAAGCAGCATATGGTGTTTGCTAGAGATTGTCAACTGTTAGAACTTAGAAGTATATAGTCAGTTATCATTTATCAATACTTGTGCTTGTGAGTTTAGCAGGATGCTGCAGGACATGACATACTATTATCAAGCTAACCGTACAACTTTGAAATCATTTCAATCCACATATTTCCTGAATCTTGACCTGAAGAGGCTGTTGATCAGATGCTTATCTGCGCTTTTATGCACTCTCTGCTCTATCTTTGATTGGTTTTGTAAGATAGGGCAATAACTGTATATAGCTTGTGTGTGTTTTGGGGGTAGCTGTGAAATTGTTCAATGTTGAAATAATGATGTATCTAACTAATAGGTAGAATTTGGTTTGAACATGCATTTCCATCACTTGTTTCTGCTGATGTTACCGTTTGCTAGTGACGAAGTTAGTCATATGATGAGTTGAATAGTTTCACATCATGATCTGATGTTGATAGTACAAACATGTGTTACTTCTAATTTTAAGGGCTTATGTGATATTATACTATTCTTGTTATTCTTACCTTAACAGCTTGGCTATCTAGAGCTATCCATCCCCCTTTTAGTCCGATTGCATGTATGCCGCAACACACTGTTCTTTGATTTGGTAATATACAATGACACATTTTAGATTCACTCTCCTTTTCTATCTGTTAGGCAATGCTCAACCGAGTGGGATATACACCGGAGATCAATCATGGTGTGCTGATGGAAATGGCAGAGCATAAGAAGGATCTAGAGAGAAAGACTAAACCCATTGCAGACACATTGAGAAGCTACCAGGACTTGCCACCAGTATGCCTTTTGCTTTCTGTTTTGTTCCTTTTCTTCAGACATAAATCTTTACTTATTCTTGGTATTTTTTGTGACTGTCATCAGGACAAAGCTCTAGCAGCTCTAGCTATAGAGGACAAAAAAAGACAGTATGCGGCGGCAGAGAAGTATCTGGAAGATGTGTTACAGTCTGCATTAACCACACCTGGCCTATGATGTGTGTGTGTGTGTGTGTGTGTGTGTGTGTGTGTGTGTGTGTGTTATTAAGTTTGTAATACTATTTGGTCTGACATGCCATTGATTGATAGTGCTATGCAGTAATGGCCATTGATTTCTTGTAAGTTGTAACTTGATTCTATGATCCTGTAAAATGCATGTTCTACTGTTTACCTAACCACAGCATATTTCACCACACAAACTTATTTCTGTTGCAGCTACTGAGCTACCATGTCATCGACAACCAGGATGCCTCTGAACATCTTGGCCTGTTTGCTGTATATCATTTTGCATTGATGTCTATGTGATTATGGATAGTCATGATGATTCATGGGATCAATTGATGCTATATGCTAGTAGATTAGGTAAATGTGATCATATGCCATATGAACATGCCATTTGTCTTTCATCTGTCCTTGCATCTTTCATAGAGTTAACCAGATTTGTTGGCTTTATTCCAATTGAATTCTTATGCTCATATTAAATGTTAGTACTTTCTGCGATTTCTATTAGATGTTTAGCGCTTCTTTTTTCCCCAAATACCATAACAAAATGTGTTCTGCTACAACTTCCAGAATATTTCTTTCAGGTGAATTCAGGTATTATTTGTTCTCTCATCTTCCATTGGCTAATGATATAGCTTAATTTGGGCTCTTTACCAAGTTATTAAACTAGATATTGAGCTGATTGCCGAATCAGGTTGGTTCTCTTGAGCTGCAAATAAAATGAGGGAGTAATGAAGACTACCTATATTCCTGAGCAAATTTTGGACTTTGGAGACATCCTGAATGGTGGTTCCATACTTCCAAGAAATAGGTGGGTGACTTTATCCTGAAATTGATGTGCTTTCACACTATCTGTAATACTAGAATAATTATATCCATTTTTCTTGATGCCTGATTATTTTATTTCTATAGGAATTGTGTTTGCACTGTATTTTGTATTCCTTTCTAGATCTGCCTTGCCTGTCGACAATACAACAATATCTTATTAGCATGTTTTTTATTGTTGGAGCTAGATGACACCATGACAAAGTGAGAACATCTTTAGGAAATGTTCTACATGAAGAAATCCTATAGTATTAAATATTCATTGCCAATTGTGCTTTCTAGTTATGTTGATAAATATGTAATTATCTTGTCTATCTCTTCATTAAAAAGTGAATGCTGTCTTGCTAACTTGCTATATATATATTGAATCGAAAGCTCTGTTGTCTGTTGCTATGTTTTCTGGTAGACCCAATAGCTAAAGGCAATTCCATACAGAATATTCAAAATTAGAACACTCAGGTAGAAGCTGACATAAAGAAGCTGGAGTTGTTATCAAGTGGACTTGTGCTTCCCACTTCCCAGTAGGATCTAAATATTGCAATAATAATATTTTTCAGAAATTGTTCTTTGTTTGAATAGATGTTCTTAAGCCCTGACTCTGAAACTCTTTTCAGTCGGCCTGTAAATTGGGAACAATGATCTGTCCTTCAAATGTGCCTTCGCCTGATTAGCACAACTGGCTCATGAACATTAAACTTGGCACTCGGCAGCCATTTAGTGTAACATGCTAACACATTACAAAAACCATATTTGGCTATAGCTGATAGGACACTGCAAATCTGCAATATTGTGACAATTTACCTTGGGTCACTATTCATTATAATCGCATCATTTCCAGCTGAGGAAGTGAATATCTCCCTGAGCTCTGATTGAACACCATCAAAATATCATTTGGTTTGGACTGAATGGTGGTGTGGTTGACCTCCCCAGTTTTATAAATGTATTGCCTATATTTTGTATTGCAGTCCCTAGCATATTGTGCTTTGAAGGCCTGGATGCATGATTCCCCTGGTTTTACTCTGCATAGAAATGAGAAGTCCTGGTTGCAAAGCTGTTTCCAGTGCTGCCTCTTAGTGAAAGAAGGAATGCTGATTCCCCTCTTGCATACAACCTTACAATTGAAGGTCAGTATTACTTTTTTTTTTTTGCTGATATGAGCACAAAATAGTTGGCTTAAATTTCTTCCATTTTAGTGACTTGCTTCATATCTTAGCATGGAAGTTACATGGTAAGCTTATATTTACTACTATAAATGGGCCAGCTGACTTAGATTTCTTTGATTTAAGTAGTTTGCTGCATAAATGGATTATTTGACTTTTCGTTGGCACTACTAATAGTTAAATTTGTCATTCTCTATTAATCCAGCTCAGCTCATTGTGTTTTTTTAGTGTAATGTTTTTGATATTCTGGGATCAATATATGGGTGCGAAGGGGTTTGATTCTTTTTTGATTATTTTCCTCAAACAAATGTGCAAAAGAAAAAAAAAACTCAGCTACCCTTTCTATCAGCTAACTGAAATACTTCTACTGTGACCCGCACTCTGGGGGATACCCATTTGGGTACCTCCTTGAGTCAGTGCAGTAATCATAAATCTTGTAGTTATCATCTACGTCCTTAAGTTTCTGCTTCCCTTCCTCATCCAAATCCTGGGTAAACCAGCTGCTGTCATTAGACCCTTGGCTGCAAATCCAGGCAGTTTTGTACGGAATGCAGGCGTTAGCTTGGTAGTTCCGGAAGAATGCGGTAAATGGTGCTTGAGACCAGTCGGTTTTGATACGCCCACCCTGCGTTGCCCAGTCATCGGCATCCCAGATGCTGGCGTACAGCCTCATTGGTTGATATAGCGGGAAGGGTATATCATTCCTTAGCTGATTCTTCATCTGCCGAATTGGTGTGCCATCAACAAGTATTCTGCAACAACAGACCAAACAAATTAATTTATGCTTAGCTCTAATAAAGAATACACCTTCCTAGCTGTGATAAAACCTTTCCACAATCGCTTACGTATAGGACGGTATTACCCAAATGAGGACTATTAATGCTGCATATATAAGAACTGATGACTCTAGGAAGAGAGGTAACTTACAAGATCATCTGCGGGTTCCAGATGATGGTGTAGGTATGGAAGTCTTCTGTTGGATCAAACCAAAGCCGGTACTGCTTTTCTCGGCCACCTGTTCCTCTGGCATAGATGTTAGTGTGCAAGGTGTAGGGCTCACCGGTGGTGTTCCCCAAGAACTCGAGATCAATCTCATCATGTATGTCCCACAGCCCCTCAGTTATCATCTATTCCCAAGTTCCGGTACAAAGGAATGGTTAGTCTAAGGATTCAAGGTATATTGCAGTAGCATCACTTGTTTCTTACTTACATATAATGTGGTGACAGTGCCGGCTGAGTCCTTGGCAACAAGCTTGATGTCCATGTCAATCCTCGCAAAGAGATACTTAGTCTTTGAGCGGAATGCAGAAGTAGTCCAGCGGTCAAGGGACAGTGATACAATTTGGTGGCCAGTGCTGTCATAGAGCACCTGTGTATTGCCCCACAGCATGTCAAGGCTGTCGGTCATGTCGCTGATTACTGGGGAGGTGGCTAGGATGAGATACAAAGCTGCCATGGACATGGAGGGTAGGAGTTGAGCCCTAGGTTGCCCCATGGCTTTTGCTAATGCGAAGTGCCTAAGTGAGTAGGCAGACTGTGGAGTGTGCTGTGTTGAAATGTTGTAGACTTTATATAGACTCATGTGAAGAGGAAACCAGGTGTTCAAGTCTAAACAAGATCTAGGTCTGACATACTATTACCTTAGATTCTTGGAAGGTGTATGAACTGGACATCATTGGCTGACATGAAGAAGTGGGCATAAAAAAAATGATAAAAATTGGCCTGAACCATAGCTTGAGCAGGAATGATCCAGCCTGGATTCTGTAGTCTGGAGTTGACTTACTGGTTCTGTCATCCAACCAATTTGCAAGCCGCCCCATGGTGGCTTCTGACGAACTCACCTGGCCTTAAGCAAGTTGAAAGCTTATGGTTTAGAGGGTTTTAGCCACCATGCAGTGCAGTTCTTGTAGGTAAATTACTAGATGAACTCAATTATGAAATATGTGCTCAGTTATGGTCTAGAGGTTTTTGGTCGCCACACAGTGCAGTTCTTGTAGGTGAAATTACTAGTTGAACTCAATTATGAAATATGTACATAGTTATAAAGCATCTGGAGAATTGCTAGCTTTATGCAGTCCTGCCACATTGATCTGTTTACTTTTCATCAAATGCTGATTTTCCTCTTCATGGATGTTCGTGATGAGGGATCGAACTGCAACTATTTTTTGTGGTCGATTACATTGGTCCATCAATGACTTCCATAAAGAATGAAATTATCCAGATGTAAACAGACATTTAATAAGTGATGCTTATCTTTGTTAAACAACTCAAATTATGTGCAAGTCAGACAAGCAAGTGACCTGTAAACACAAGGCCATCTAGTCATGCACACTGAAGTCCCACTGGGAATTTCACACTTCACACGTATTTGTAAGGTCATTGTGTCAGTGCACTGCTGCTTATAGGCTAGTTTGTACATAACTATCTTGAATTCCACTGTCTAAAAATTCCTATAATACTATTTGATACACAGGCCTTAGTTGACATTGTAACAACGGAAGTCGTACCTAGTTATTTAACGTTGTTTGTGTTGATAGCCGTGATACTGGCACGAATGTGCAGGCATTGTGAGCTGTAATTTTCGATATATGCAACAATAGAGTACTAATTCTTTATCCCTAATAAACGGTGCCTGTGTTTTTAATACTTTATGTTTCTAGGCAGTCACATAGAGATTGCTTTGATTCAGGTTCTGTTTGGCATTGCAGTGGACTATGAGTTTTGGTTCAACTGCTTTTATACATTTTGGTGCTTGTAAACTGTCTTCTGTTTCAATCTAATCTCAAATGATAATATATAGTGCTATGCAAATATGAATAAAAAAAAGAGTCATGACAGATTGATAAATATTTTGTTTAGCTTTCATTTGATTCATAAACAAAACTACAACCGTTTTAGATTTATTTTTCTACAGCAACTTTTAGAAAAGGGAAAAATATGCACAGTGCAATATAGCACAACAACCACGAATTGAGCCTCAATACTTTGTAGTTTGGATTAACACCTTTCTTAGGGGCCATGTTCAACTTTTGAAATGTTTATTCAGTTGATATGTGATAGAGTGGGCAATGCAGTAGGCTGTTGATACTCTGAGACTCTGGGCATGCAGAAAAAAATTGCGATGACATTTTTATTTGAGTAAATTTCACAAGACTACATGTGCTTTGTACAATCTATCACAAAACTGCAGACTTAGTGTCTCCATTATCACAAAACTACATGGTTTAACCTTGCCCGTTAGATGCACCAGCACCTTTGTGCGGGACCCACCTGCAGTCTCCGGAAACTACAGAAGTACATATTTACTCAAAGCATCCACATGCTGATCAGGTCAAAGCATCCGTGCAGAGGTAACACAAAAGCATGTAGGCGCATATAGCTAACACTTGATTATAGAAGCATCAAAATGCAGAAATCTAATACCTAATTACTGATCGCTTCATGAGACTTCAGGTGGGTCCCAAACATCAGGTGTCAATGCGTGTAATGGGTAAGGCTAAAACTGTAGTTTTGTGATAACGGAGACACTCAATCTGTAGTTTTATAAGACAAGTTCTTAAATTTGTAGTACTGTGATAGACTAGCATAATACCTGTGAGTTGCAACAGATATCTTTTAAGAAAAATAGCTCATCGTATATATTCTAAAGCCCACAATAATTGTTCTTATTGCCTAATATTATCATCATGTTACTTTTGCAGTCACTTTCTAGGTGTCTATTGAGCTAGAGTTCTCAGGGTCTGTGGCCTTGGGGGTTGGGAAATAGGCAAAGTCTCCCTGTTTATGGGTCCCACATGGTTATTGGGTACTTGGGTGGTGATTCACCACCACTACCACTACCATCTTTTACATTAGCACAGATATAGATTGTGCAAAGTACCTGTTGTCTTGTGAAATTTAATCATTTTCTTTTATGGCAGCCTCCTTATGCACATTATCCTACTGACATGTGGGCCCAGACCCACCTTGTGAGTTGTGAGTGATGCAACAAATGATTTGCAAATTTAAGTTTGCATTTATGTAGTTATATTTGTGAGTGATACACAAATGATTTGCAAATTTAAGCATGCATTTATGTAATTATATTTTTTAGTTTATATAGAAGTAACACTTGGGGTAATATGGAAAGAACAAGATAAGTTATACATTGGGTCTGGAACTCTAAATAACAATAAGCAACTTTTTATTGAGCAGGTTGAGGATGGAATTGTATTTCTCACATTAATATTAAATGTTAACTACTAATCTTTTTGTGATAAATAGGTTTATTGCCAAGTACTGACATGGTGATGGTAGTTTGGCACTGCTGCAATGGACTCCAGTGTAAAGGAATTGGTGGGATGATATCTGCTCATTCCACCACTCTTCTGTTATCAAAAGCATACCCATAAGTCCAGAGATGCTGTGATTCAGAAGGAAGGCATGGGAGGATGCACAGAGCCAATTGATACTTGATAGTTGATACTACCTCCGTCCCTAAATATTTGATGCCGTTGACTTTTCTAAACATGTTTGACCGTTCGTCTTATTCAAAAAATTTAAGTAATTATTAATTATTTTTCTATCTTTTGATTCATTGTTAAATATACTACTAGTACTCAAGTTTTTAAATAATATTCACAAAAGTTTTTGAATAAGACGAACGGTCAAACATATTTAAAAATATCAACGACGTCAAATATTTAGGGACAGAGGGAGTACTACGTAAAGGTAATTACCACAATGTTCGGTTACGTGGGTTCTGTGTGATGTGTTACTGCAGGTTGACAAGATTAGAAAAGGCTATAGGGGATGCAGAAATTATTTAGTTTTTAAAGTATTTCTTAGAGGATCTTGGTAGTACCTTATTGCCCAGGGTTACTAGCTATATATGTGGATTAGAGAGTTGCGAGGATAACATGTAAAATTATTCAATACCCTGGGATATATTTATTGGTGCAAAGTTTACCTTTTATGAGGGCACTTAGATATTCATCCTCAACCAGCTACAATTTTCACTAGCTGAATTTCTAGCCACACCTTAATTTCTGGAATTAGAGATGGAGCTCTATAGCTCAGCAGGATCTAATTGTAACACACATTTGCTTCCAGAAATGATATGAATATTGTGAATCTTTTTACTGATGAATTCATGCGCTTTAAACTTGAATCCTTTACTGCCATGCTCACTCTCCACATCAAGAAAATGGTAACCTTCATGGTCAGATATTATTTTTCTGTAGTGTTGATATCAAAGCATATTATTAGAGGACAAGAACAAGGCTTAAATATTTGTTCTGGATACAAAGTCCTCTGAAACACGCTACTTCCTCTGATAATAAGGAATGAGATGTGTTTTGCATTCAATATCTTTGTGGCAATACATTGAAGCACAGCAAACAAGGGGTCTAACTGAAAACTGCTGTATTTCCAGGTTGATCTTACCAGTTACATGTGAGGTATGTAAGTAATCAAGCATAATATTTAGTGATGCAAACACAAATGATTTTATACCATGTTATTCATATAACATCCTTCATATCTTGTTTGCAAATTGCATAATTGTGTTTATATTTTACACTGACATCTATGAGTTGACTGGCTTTTAATTGCAACTATTTGCAAATGTTTCAGTTAGCCTTCACATAATTAACACTAGCTTGACTAGAAAGCCTTTACATAGTTAGCTCACTGCACATGAGTTGCTGATCATATTTCATTTGCTATATGTACAGCCAACAATTTATTTTCATTTTAAAGTAGAGTGCTTCCCTGATGCTTCTTGTAATAAGGAAGATTTAGGTTTCTTCTGTAAGAATGCAATGGACAATACATTTGTTATACTGTTCATACTTGGAAAGAATGAACCGAATCATCCAATACACCTCTCACCCTTTCTATCTGCTAATTGAATTACTTCTAGTTTATCGTACACTCTTTGGGGAGATTATCTTTGAACCTCTTGGTGTCAGTGCAGTAATCGTAGATCTTGTAGTTGGCATCCACCTCCTGTAGTTGCTGTTTCCGTGTCACGTCCAGCTCCTGGTTGAACCAATTTCCGGAGCTCTGGCCGCAGAGTGGGGAGCTCTGTTGTGGGGGGCAAGCGATAGCCCTGTAGTTCCGGAAGTATGCTGTGAATGGCGCCTGCGACCAGTCAGTCTTCACCCGCCCTCCCATTGTTGCCCAGTCATCGGCATTCCAGATGCTGCCATATACCCTCATTGGCTGATAGGTTGGGTACGGGACACTGTACATCAAATTGTTCTTGATCTGCCGGATCAGCTTGTCATCAACAAGGATTCTGCAACCCAACAGCATTCTTATTGTTAAGGTTTGTGCCTTTCAAATAAATGGGCTGCATAAGATGATTTTCTTGATACTATTTTTTCTTTCTTTCTACTACCTCCTTTTCATATGTCGCTTTGATTTTTTTTTCTATGTTAAACTTCTTTTAACTTTGACTAAATTTATAGAAAAATATAACAATATTTTTAACATAAAACAAGAAACTATCAAAATATATTTAAAATGTTAGATTTAATAAAACTAATTTGGTGCTCTAAATATTCCTATATTTTTCTATAAACTTGGTAAAACTTTCAAAAAGTTTTGACTTAAAAAAATCAAAGCGACTTATAATACGAAACCGAGGGAGTAACATTTATTTGCCATGTAGTATTGCTTATCAAATAATTGTGAAACTGGTACTAATTCTGCACAATATAAGTTTAACTGGATAGGTTGGGGGAGCTTACAGGATATTTCTTTGGTTCCAGATGATGGTGTAGGTATGGAAGTCTGCAGTGGGATCAAACCAGAGCTTGTACCGCTTCTCTCTGCCACCTTTCCCTCTGGCATACAGGTTAGTGTGCAGGGTGTACGGCTCGCCAGTGGAGTTCCCCAAGAACTCAAGGTCAATCTCGTCGTGGAATTGCCATAGGCCCTCTGTTATCATCTGTTCCAAGATCGCAACACAAGAGAATGGTTAGTCTAAAAGATCTGCAAGTGACACCAATGCTAATACAGTAATCTGTTCATTCCCTGGCCACTTACATAAAGAGTAGTCACGGTTCCAGCTGAGTCTCCAGCAACGAGCTTGATGTCCATGTCGATCCTACTGAAGAGGTATGTGCTCTTCGACCGGAATGCGGAGGTCGTCCAGCGGTCAAGAGTCAGTGAGATAGTCTGTTTGCCGGAGTTGTCATAGAACACCTTTGAGTTTCCCCACAGTATGTCGAGGTCATTGGTGAGGTCGCCAGTGACCATGGAGATTGCTAGGATGAGGTAGAAAGCCCACAGGGAGGCTAGGAGGTGAGCCCTAGCCTGCCCCATGGCTTTTGGTGGTATGGGAGAGTGAGCAGAGTGAGTGGGTGTGCTGTGTCTCAAATGGTGTGCCCTTTATAGACTGAGGTGAAGGGAGACTTGGTTGTGCGAGCGCGTCTAAACAACTAAACAATATCTAGCTTGCCAGTGACTTTGATTCTTGGAAGATGTAAGAAACTGAAGAGAATCGTCTGGCTGCTGAATAAGTTGTGTAAAAAATGGTGATGAAAGTGGCTTCCATTAAAGCCAGAATGGTGATCAAGTTGACTAACTGGTTCTAGGGTTCGATCTTGGCTCCAAATCTGCGAGCCGTCCCACGGGGTCTTCTGACAAGCTAAGGTGGTTCTCAAGCAAGTTGCTGAAGGCTTATGTTATGATGACAAAAGAGTTTTAGGATCCCTTTGGCCATTGTGGTGCAATCTGTCACTAGATCCACATAAAAGGTAATTATTAGTTCAGCTATAAGGCATCTAATCTTGCTTGCTGGTTTCTCATGTTATATGACATCTACTAGGTTGTGAAAGGCTGGAAGTACACAAAAATGATATGCAGTTACAAGTTGTTTCCAGTCAATGCCTTCGGAACAGTTACCAATGATTTGCTGTTGTTCAACTCAGTCCCTCATTATTGTCAGGTTTGTGCAGCTCCAATAGATATCAGTCGTTCCTCAGAGGAATCTTTCAAAGGAGTTACTCCTGACTGGTGGATTAATTTGATTGATCTGATGGTTTTTGTGTAGACCGACACTCTGGTCTAGAAACCCAACTAATGCAAGTGACGCGGTGAACTGTTCTTCCATAGACAAATTGATCTGCAAGTCAGAAAGGGTAAGTCAGTTGTGGATTACGAGGTGATGCATACCAAAATTCCACCAGTAAATTCAGACCTCCAAGTTTCAGACTAAGCCCTATGTGCGGCTGTGCACTCATATTCTTTTTTCATGGATGCTCATGGGAACAAAACCCCAGAACTTGTGCTATAAACAATTTGCAAATTTATAACGGTACATCTTAGTACAAGTTCATCACATATCCGTACTTTGAGAAGCTCAAATGTTGTCTTGGGACAAAGTCAACTGGATTTGCTTTAAATGATCGTAAAAATGTCAACATAGCACTTGTTTGAGTTAAATCTGATGTTTGCTTTTGTATTTTTCCCAAATTGAAACAAATCTTTTGCGCTTACTGCATCCTGCCGTACCACTCATGTTTAAGTTGTCTGATTTTTATCTGTATTTTCTGAATAAATATAATTCTCATATACATTTTTGTTCTCCAGGATGGTAATGATACTAATGAAGTATGGAATTAATCACTGAAGTTGTTGGGGCTTTGATTAATTGCTGGACAAATTATACTACTGAATTCAAGTAAAAAGAAAACTATACCACTGAAATTACACCAAGCATCTGGTGAGTGATCGCATCAATTTATCAATTCTTTTCATGTGTTTCTACAATCTCTGACAAAAGCTACATACATCTCTGCATCTTATTCATGGATCAGCATTTCTTCATTCCATCTTCTGGAATTTGGCGCAGGATGCCAGTATTTTTCACTTGCCAGTTTGTCATTCTTACAGATCTTGCGTTGACTCCACTTACAGTCAGTGTGCCATTTTATTTTAACCACATGTCTGTGTAGAAGACCGTGAAGCTTGCAGCTTGCAGGGGCTTGCAGTATTAACCAAATTAACATGGCACATGGGCCGTAATTTCTCGATGTACGTATTTCCTACCTCCTCTAGTTAATGGCTACTGTTTTTTTATATGTGTGAGATCGCATCGATTCATGCTGCTGTGATTTGGATTAGTAAAAGGCATTTTGATCAGGTTCGTTTCTGGCTTTGCAAATGTCTAGGCACATGAGAGTTGTCGGCGTCATTTCTGTCAATGGAAGATGGCACCGGCGGTGCTTCCGGTGCCAAGCTTGGCATGTGTACGTACCGTATGCTCAGAGGTAAAGGAAACTGCGTCTTAGCTTCCCTTTGTTTAATACGGCTCTTCTCGGAATTTATTCCTTGGGTTTTATGATATGCTTGATAGGGGAAAAATTACTTTCAAACAATATTGGATATGAGCATGATTTGCCAAGGGATTTAACGAGTGAAGGGCGAGGTCGGTTATGTCTGGTACCCGAGAGTTTTCACTCCCTCTGTTATTTTTTTATTTATCGTTTAATTTGCAGATCGACAAATCGTTTAATTCACGTGTTTGATCAGTATATTTTTACGTGATAAAAAAGACATTTTAAACACAGAATTACTAAACTGCTTTTTGAGGTCTGTCTTCCACTCTTCATACATGATGACTACGTATTGTGAGTCAGAAATATCTTTTGGTTTTCGGTCGAAGCCCAGGGCGGTCCATCGAAAAAAGCTGGGCCATGGTCTTGATTCTTTTTTGGGCTGTTCTGCTCCTGCACGATTTGAGTCTTGGCCAACACAGGCTACGGCCATTTTAGGTCTCTCAATTAAGGCTACATCCATAGTCCATTTTAGGAGGTTTTTACCTGTATGCCATTAAGAAAGATGGTGCTTGTCTCTGTGCCACTAAAAAGTTCGAGCCTCCCTCTATGCCATCGTTGAACTTTACTGCGCTCTCCACACCATTCCGTCACTATTTTGTTAAGGTTCACCTATTTGGCAGCTCTGACATGTGGGGGCTCGCGTGTGGGAGGGTAACCAAGGACAGCCTACCAAACCCTCTCTACCTCATCCACCACCACGTCCAATCCTTCGGTCCTTCCACCCTATCCGTGAGGACAAGCTCGGCCGCCGCGTCCCCGCCATCAACGCGGTACCGGCGACGGAGGAGCCAGCCGACAACGCAGCGATGCTCCATCCGTTGTAGCATCCTCTCACCAAGCTCACGCCGCCGTGGCGCCCAGAAGCTGCTACCAGCGCTAACTTTCCCCACCACCATGGCGGTCACCGCGCATGCTCCGCTCCGTGTGGCGGGCTCGCCCGTCGCCGCTGGCGCTCTGCTCCGCCGCCACTGCTCTGCTCGCCGAGGCCACCCTCTCTCTCGCAATGGCGGCAGCATCATCAATGTCATGGCTTCCTATTCGACTATGCGCCAACCGCCACAGTGCCTGCCTCTACTTCCATGCCCACCGCTGTGGCGCCATCTGCTCCCGGCTCGCCATTGCCACGTCACCCCTTCTCCAGTTTCGCCGCGCCACCGCACCGCCCGTCGCCGCCCGCTCTTTCCCACCTCACCCCACCAACCCTATGAGGAGAATAATGAGAAAGATAGAGAGGAGGAAGGGAGAGAAGAGGGGAAATAGATGACGACGATGTGGTGACCCTGATGTGTGGGGCCCATGTTGAGTCAGCTGCCACGTCGGATAAAACCGGAGTCAAAACCGTCGAGGGACCTAGTTTTTACTGGTTTTGTAAGTTGGAGGATGTGTTGTATCCGGTGTTGCGGTTGGGGGACGATTTTGTAACTCGATGATAAGTTGAGGGAGCTTCGGTGTACTTATCCACAAAAAAAAAAAACCAGGCGTGAACTGGGCCTGCAGCAGCTTGGGCTCGATGCCCAGGCTGCGGACGATGGGAAAAAAACCAGGCGTGAAGAGAGAAGCCCAACCCGTGGCTTATGGGACGATGGGAAACTGGAGCCCTCGATCTCTCCCCCTCACCTTGTCGCTTCCTCCTCCCCCGACGCCGCCGCTTCCCCAATTCCGGCTCCGGCGGCGAGCAGCAGGCTGCGGACGCGCCGTCGAAGCTCCAGGAGGATGTGGATCTCCGGTGTAGTCTCCGTGGCATGCCTACATCGGCGGCGCGAATATTCAGCACCGGCTTAGATCGATGGCGCCCCTCGCCGCCGGGCTTCCGTGGAGAGCAGGTATGCTTCCGCCTCTACTCCTAGGTCGGTCTGCGCCGCTGTTCTTTGGCTCCGACTGAATCCATCCAACAATTAGTTTTGTACCATATCGCCGATTCTGAGACAACACGACCTGTTTATTAGCTCGATTTGATTCCATTCCATCGCCACCCCAGAGGCACCCACCCCGACTGCAATGGGCAGCGGTAGGGCGTGTATCCGCACTACCGTTTCAGCTGCAAAAAAAAAAAAAAAGCAGTGAAAAGATCCCCTACTGGGGCACGGCAGGCGACCCCCTGCCAAAAAGATGCCCTATAGAGGCACACAGTCGGGTCTCTCGGTGGAGGCAGCGCTAGACACTAGCGCTTGGCTTTTTGAAATTTGTAACATTAGATTTTTTTCCCCTGTTGAACTCATAGCTACTCATGGGATAATTGAACCAATTGCAAAAATAGTTCGATTACTTCGTAACACTCCTCCATATACAACATACTCCATGCGCACAATAATCTGAAAACCGTTTCATAAGCAGAGAGAGAAGCTTAATGTCTTCAAACATTATTAAGATAGGGTAGGAGAGGAGATGTGATAGTATATAGACTGATCATCCAATAATTTCAGTAGATGTTTGACTGAAACATCCAATATTTTCAGCGAGTTGTCTGAAGATGTGAATACCAAGGTTCCAAATGACTAGCGGCAAGATCAGGTATGTGCAGACGACCTCCGAGACTGAACCAAACTCATCCAGGCATGGAATGCGGAAAAAAAATAGACCATAGCTCATCTCGGCATGAATGAAGAATCTCACATTTTGAAGAGTCTTTTTGATGCTCAGGGATTCATGTAAGCAATTATTTCTTATCCCTAACACAAATAATTTGTCTCGGCTTTTGTTTCTGAAAATGATATTTTTTTTCCATTTTTCTCAGAGTGCAATTAATCACGATGCCATAATGCATGCTAATGATGACCAGAAGCTTGACGCCAATCGGAAGTCATGATAGTTTTTTTTGGTTGCTAGTTCGACTGGTAAGAGCTGGTGCTGCCGAGACACCATCCTCAGTGTTCTTGAAGTTTAAGTCAACACTCAATAGGCATTGGTTTATTTAGTTCTTCTCAGCCATCAGAAACTTCAAATAGCAGGGCCAAAGTCTGCAAACTTTTAGGTAGGATGCACTTAGAACATCTCTTGCATATTCGCTACAAAGAAAAAGATGATCTAGGGACTAGCTTCTAATCACACACCAAGTTTATCATAGAAAGGTCATGCATCAAGCTCTTCTACTAGGAACATTATCATGCAACCTCAAGTCCTAATTTACCAATATGCACCTTCAGGCTTCAGCCAGCTCAACAAGCATTAACCAGGCATTTTAAGAACTCCATTATGTCCAAGGATATGCTGCTATTTAAGAATCTGCTGAAGGAAATAGCAATGTTGCAAAGATGCAAAAATGATGCAACATGGATGCTCAAACCTTACTACCAGTAATTTTAGCTGTACTTGAGTGGAACAATATTTGGCTAGGTCTGGTGTGCTGCATAAATTAGTTTCATTCAGATAGGACATGCAAATTAGAGATAGGGGGAATGTTTCCAACATCTTTTTGAAACCTTTTGGCATTGCTGACTGATTCTTTTTGTAAGAAAGGAACAAATCTGAAACAAGAGCATGTTAGGTGACATGTGGCAAATAGATGAATACAAACATTTATCACCGGAAGGATTGGTGGCGATTTTTTTTTTTCAAAACAAACTTGTGGGAGGACTGCGGCAATTCGTTCTTCCCCCAACTTGTAGTGTTATACACGAAACATGATAGGCATGTTGAAGCATGAAAATACGTCCTTCACACTTTGTTTTTTCCTCATTTTTTAGATTTCCAGCTGCAACAAATTTGGTGCAAAATTGCTTATGGGGACCTGGTTGGACTGGTGAAAGGAAGCTCAAACAACAATCTTTATTTAATTTTCGTTTGCTTTGAGACAGGAAGAAGTAACTGAAATAACTATTCCCTCCGTACTCGTAAAGGAAATTGTGTTGGACAGCGACACGGTCTCCAAAACACAACTTTGACTTCTTGTTTCTATAAAAATATTTATTGAAAAGTGATATATGTATACTTTTATGAAAGTATTTTTTATGACAAATCTATTCATATAATTTTTACATTTTCAAACTCAACAACTTGAGAGTTATTCATGATTTATATTTCGAAAGTTTGACTTAAACATTGTCCTAAACGACTTCTAATACGAACGAGTATGGAGGGAGTACTTGACTAATACCAACATTTCTTTATCATTTAATTTTTTTTTGTCTTGATTGCCAATGCAGGGCCTTGTTATTCAGCTTTGATGTTTCGTGTGTTCGTTTCACCTATTTCCTATTTTACATTTTCCTGATACTATATTATCATCGACCTTGTTGTCTAGCACCAATTCTATAGCCAAATTTTGGTCTGCATTTCAATCACTTGGGTTCAATCACTTGACCAGATTACGCCATTGACTTTTATGAAATAACGTTTGATTATTTGTCTTATTTAAAAATTTGGTATAAATATGCTAAAGAATAAGTCATACTGATACGGTATCATCTATTTAAAAATGAGAGTACTATGATACGATGAGGTTTTCTGCTTCGAACATCAGATGCTAGATGACAGTAGATGCTAGATGACAGTGGAAACCCTTACGGATGTTAATTTTCTATGCCCTTGTTTAGTTCCAAAATTTGGTATAAATATGCTAAAAAATACCTGTGCGTTGCAACGGGTGAAGGCTATTTTAATTTTATTATTGTTATATGGTTTAGTTAAAATGGAATTCACTGTGAGAGTTAGGTTGGATATATATATTTTTAGAAAATCATGAGCTGCAGTTAAGAGTAGTTAGCATGCGAGTTCTTTTTTAAATAGATTTCTTATATGATTTCTTCTGTATTACTAAAAGCATAACAATAATAAACCATATAACAATAATAAGATTAAAATAGATTTCATCCGTTGCCACGTACGGGTATTTTTTCTAGTAATATGTATAATAGGTAAAGAAATACAAATATTACATATTTAACTGGTGAATCACCAAAGAAAATAATGAATACAGTTAAAAGTGGCTTAGTGAAAAGGGTACACAACACAAACGTTACATGAAAAACGCATGGGTTGATAAAATTATCAAATTCATCATAAATCATGTACAGGATCTTCTCCCGTTTATTTATACCAAAAAGCAGAGAATACAACAGAAAAAAAAATCATTAACTATTTAGCTGGGAAGGAGCAGGACCGGCCAGGCAGGAAGAAGCCCAAGAGGCCTAGGGCGATGGGCAGATGGCCCAGCTGGTAAAAAAAAAAAAATTCAGGACTCACGAGCGCTTCCTCGGTCAGATGCAGAACAGCGCCTGTACATCTCCGTCTCCGAGCGACGTGCGGCAACCAAGCCGACGCGACGATGGATAAAAAATGGGACAACGTACGAAAATTTGAGGGCAAAAACACCTTGCATAAATTAAGTTGCAACAAAATAAATAATATTTATATAATTTTTTAATAAGACAAATGATCAGACAAAAATCAACCAACGGTATCATCTATTTAAAAATGAGAGTACTATGATATGACGAGGTTTTCTGCTTCGAACATCAGATGCTAGATGACAGTGAAAACCCCTACAGATGTTAATTTTAGTTCTAAAATTTTTCTTCAAACTTTTAACATTTCCATCACATCAAAACTTTTCTACACGCATAAACTTCTTAACTTTTTTGTCACATCGTTTTAATTTTAATAAAACTTCTAATTTTAGCATGAACTCTACACACCCTATGTCTACCCGTGTTGCTAGTCGTCCTGGTTTTCTTGTACGTCAAAGAAGTGCTGCTAGTCATTAATGATTGACCCCCTATGTTGCAGTTACTGTTTGGAAAGTCGTACCTCATCATGCTCAAATGTTCTGCAGTGTACAAAGTAGTGTATGAATGCAGTTCTCTACTACTATCACAGCTCATGTGAAATGGGACTCCAGCTGAGAAATGCAGGACATGGAACTTCGATTCATTGCATAAGCCCTGCATAGATATTTTTCAAAAGATTTATTCATGATGGGCCTCCCTAATAAAGCAGCGGACGGTCCTAGAGACACATGGCAGAAATATCTTACTATATACTAGTATTTAGCAAGTAAAAAAAATGCATTTAACTTTGTGTTCGTTCAATAATTAAGGAGACGACTACACGTCGGACATCCGGAGATTTGTAAAACTCCGGACGGTGTTTCACTACGTGTTAAAGAGATGTCGCAATGTTTCATTGTTTCAAAAAAAATGTTTCACCATATTTTGCAAAACGTCGGACGTTATTGCACGAAATGTTTCACATGTTACACCACTCGATGAAAAATGTTTCACCAATTAAAGGAAAATGTTTCATCGCTTGAACGAAATTGTTTCAACCAAATACAACATTCGAAACACACCAATTGCAACACGAAGAATTGATATATGCAACATCAAATCAAAAGAAAACGAAACACCTTAATAAAATAAAGTGCAATAGAGATAAATAATAGGCTGCAACATCGTTAAAAATCCAAACAAAAATGAACCCACCTTTGTTTTCTTCATCTACTCCATCCGCCGAAATCAAGTTAATGATGCAGCATGGGAGAGGTAATGGCTAGGGAAGAACACATATGAGCAGCCTCGTGAGAGGAGTGACCTTAGCCAGGGCCACCACATCTGATCCACGCCGATGGCAAGTCCAGTGTCTCCCTCCCCGACATCCTCACGTTCTGCCCTCCTGCTGCCGCTATTGTGTGGGCACCGGCGAGGTCAGCATCTTCTTGCTATCTTGCATCACCTTGCCCTGCCGCTGCAGCCATGGATGCCTCCGCTATGGAAGAGGTGAATACCGTACCGAGGAGGAGGAGGATGCGAGGATGTGGTGGCAACAGGAGCACGCGACGGGGAGGAGGAGGAGGAGGAGGAAGAAGCAAGGCATGAAGAGAGCCAAGAACACAAGCAAGCGAAGAGCCGTGTGCTCGATGGCTGGAAGTTTCGAGGAAGGAGGGAGAGCGAGAGGAAAAAAGTTAATAGAAAAGATGTGGAGGAGAAGGTAGTTGGAGTTTTGGATAAGGATGAAGCCGTCCGATATTTCACATGCGCTCGGACGTACGTCGGAAAGCATTTTTGAATAATTAACCCTAGGAACTGTACCATTTCAACAAACTAAGACAATAATTTGGGGAGGGATAAGTCAGACTTTTCCCAAATCCAAATGATAAATGACTGATTGGAGGGACATCAAAGAAATGTAATCCTATGGCAAGTAAAAAAAAAGAAATGTAATCCTAGATATTATTTTCCCCTGTGGCTGTGTTGAGAAGAGTTTAAGATTATAAGAAAAAAACTGATTGAATAGTTAAGTTTCTAATAAACTAGAAAAGTTAGATTTCATACCTTCTTGCTTCTTGTTTATTTTCTGAATTTTATAACATAGATTCTAATTAGGTTACGTTCTTTAGTCTACTTTCCCTAACTTCACTTTCCTCGTTTTTCTAAATGGCGTGTTTTTTTTAAAAAAATTTCTGTAGAAGAGTTGCATTAAAAACTTCATATTATTACTAGCCACATTCGTCACCCATTGCGCGACTATCATGACTTTTTTCAATCTCTATATGTGGACTATGGCATATGCCACTAAGAAGGACTATGGCATCCTCTATGTTTGTCGTCAATTTTACATTCATATGTTGAATAAATTTTACAACATTTAATATAACCTACCAGTGCATTTGTTATAGTAAATTCATTTTTTACTATATTCACCTTGTTGCAAACCCCGAAGCTAAGAGTTTGTTTATAGATAACTTTGTACTTATTGTATATAAATTTTACAAAAAGAATTATATTATTGTATATAAATTTTACAAAAGAATCACATGTTTAAGGTTATTCATAATAATTGCAAGAAATATACCACAAAGCCATGAATGCATTATGAATGGGTTTTCAATTTTTGTGTTTGTAAATGATTGAGAAATGATATTAATATGCATCCGTTGACATGTTTAATATCTTAAAACCATTTTTTATTTGGTAAATTATTAAAAGTGGTATTAAGAAAAGTAATCTGTCTAGAGTGGTAATTATCTTTCATAAATTAGAAACTCGCATATAAATTATCTCTTACCGTAGGTAATTTACCATGGGCATTAAGATTACAAATTTAATCATGTTTTTCCATTTGAATCATAATTTACTTGAATATATATATATTTTTCTTCTTTTATTCAATATAATTTTGATCCTCCTATCTTTTACCTTTGTTATATCTCCTATTCTATTTTTGATAATCATGTTATTGCATTGCAATTATATTTTTCATATTTTCAAATATTTTACTCTCAATTATAAAATAACCAGTGTCAACTCAGTCTCTAATGCGTTAATAAAATAAAAACCCTTAAATTAACTAACTTCCTTTCTGATCAAATTACATCATGTGTAAACCCAATAGCTACGGTCTATATAATAGTAACAGGAAGCTTAGTACGTGGCCTTTTTTTTTCCATTTGACTATAGGTCTGCTACTATGCTTCCTTTCTCTAGATCCTTTCCCAAGACCTGAACCCTGACCTGGGTCATCTTTTACTGTCCAATCCTCACTCTAGATCCGACGTTATCTATTGAATGCATGTTGCATCCAACGGCTCTGATTATTCTGATGACGTGGCAAATTGTGATGATGAGACCACTTATGGAGAAACCATCTTTACTCCCGGTTGGAAACCCCCATTTAATCCCGGTTTTCCAACCGGAAGTAAGGATCCAGGACTAAAGATGTCTCTGTTAAAATAACCGGGACTAAAGATACATCTTTAGTCCCAGTTGGTACCAACAACTGGGACTAAAGAGAGGGGATCTTTAGTCCCGGTTGATGTTACCAACCGGGACTAAAGAGACAATAGCGGCAGTACCAGATGGTCGCCTTTTCTTTTTCTTTTTTCCTTTTTATTTTCTCTCGAATCAAGTAGGCAAATCCCCAAATCAATCCCCCAATCAAAGCAACATCCCAAATTCATATCACCAAATACACATCACAAATCATAAAGTTACTTATACACACAAATCAAATACATCACAATATCCTAAAAAATTACTCAAATACATCACAGATCCAAACAATGAATCACAAATTTGTATATCTCAGTGAATCACAATTTTTTTTTAAAAAAACAATGCCGCTGCTACCACCACTCGCCACGACCGCCGGGCGCGGCCTCACCGCCCGCCACGGCCGCGGCCCCGCCGCCTGCCGCCCACCACGGCCGCCGCCGCCCGCCGCCGGCCTCGGCCCCATCGGCCTTCGCCCCACCACTCTCCACCGGCCGTGGCCCCGCCGGCCTCCGCCGGGCGCCGCCCCGCCGCCCGCCGAGGCCCCGCCGGCCGCCGGCCTCCGCCGGGCGCCGCCCCGCCGCCCGCCGCGGTCCCGCCGCCCGCCGGCCCGCCGGATGGGAAGGGAAGGAGGGGGGAGGAGGAAGGGGAGAAGGGGGAGGAGAGGAGGAAGGGGAGGAGCTGGAGGAGAGGGGACGAGGAAGAGAGTTAGAGAGGATAGATCTGAGGAGAGGGGGTGAGATTCGATCTGTCTAAGTTATAACTGTGGATGAGAAGATAAGTGATAGGGATTATATACTACGTGTTTAATTTTAGTCCCGGTTGGTATTACCAACCGGGACTAATGATCAAGAGTACCAACCGTGACTAAAATGGTGATATTTAGTCCCGGTTATTGACACCAACCGGGACTAAAGATCCTCGGCCCCCTGACATACATCTGACAGGGTATGAACCAGGACTAAAGATCAAGATCAAAATTTTTATCTTTAGTCCCGGTTCTTTTTGGAACCGGGACTATTGTGGATTTTGCCAGACCGACCAAAGATGGTTTCTCCACCAGTGGAAAGATGAATCCTTTCACTACTTTAGATTTTTTAAATTTTTAGCTAATATTTAACTAAATATACGCTAAACTGTTGTTTCGTTTTGCGTGCAATGAGGAAAGTGTTTTCAACTCCAACTGACGAACACAACCTACAGCTGGAGCTGTGCCAAACGGTATAGATTCTCTATTTTTTGGAGCGGAGTTAGTAGAGCTGCTCCACAAATTTGTACTACGGGGGTGGAGCTAGGTTTTTGCTACTCCACAGCTTCACTCCACCGCAAAAGACCCACTACCCTTTAATTTTTTAGTCTATTTATACCAAAATGCTACTGAACTACCCCTTCCTACCCCATCTCCCGTTCTCGCTCATCCCCATCTTCATCCCTTGACACCGGCGGCGCCGTTGGTGTCGGCAGCGGCAGGCGGTGGTGGCAGGTGTTGGTGGAGTGGCGGCGAGGGCCACGAGCGGCAACGGTGGCGGGAGACGGCACGTGGGCGGTGGAGTGTGGTCGGCGGCGGCAGGGCGAGGTGCGAGAGTAGCGTCGGCTGCGGCAGCAGGCAGGGCCATGCGCGTGCGGTGGCGGAGGCAGTGGGGCGACACCAACCAGGTGTTCAACTAAATGCCAACAAGGGACGTGTTGGTGTGGAGCTAATCAATCTAGCCAAATACTTATATACCCACTTCAGCTCCTATAGGAGCTAGCTATCACTGGAGTTAGAGTTTAAAGTTGGGAGTTGGAGCTTGGAGTCCTACTAAACGGGCCTAAGAATCCGGATAAGAATATTGATCATTCGAGAGCTAGAAATTTTTGGAGAAACTGTGGCCGCTAAAATCTCGTCCAGATAGTGCCTATAGTAACCTGCCAAATAAAGTATTGTAGAGAATCTCATCCGGCTGTCAAGGCCATCTGGCCATGCATACCAAATCTTTTCTCAACAGCAAACCAATATACGGAGTATAGTAAGTACTAGGGTCTTATAAGAGTCGATACTCGCTCTTGCTGCCGCCATGGCGAACAAGGGAGGAGAGCCGGCAGCAAGAGCAGCTGTGCGCCATGGTGGAGGCCCCGTCGCGTTCAAGGACGCTGTCGACGTCGACGCCACGCCGGTGCGCCCTCCGACGGAGCTCGCCGCCGCCGTCTCCGCCCTGCCGGCGGGCGTCTCCTACGGCCAGCCGATGCGCTGCTACGGGGGGACCTGGGTGTTCGAGAGCTGGGCGCAGGGCGTGGTCGCCATGCACCGCGGCGGCCTCGTGCCCCGCGCCGGCGACGTCCTCCTCGCCAGCCTCCCCAAGTCGGGGACGACGTGGCTCAAGGCACTCGCGTTCGCCACCATGGCGCGCCGCGCGTGCCCGCCGCCGGCGAGCCCCGACCACCCGCTCCGCCGCCTCAACCCGCACGACTGCGTGCCCCTCCTCGACAGGCTCTTCGCCGCCGGCCGCGACGCGCTTCTCGACGAGCTGCCGTCGCCGAGGCTCATGTGCACGCACATGCCGCTCTCGCTGCTGCCGCCGGCGGTGGCTGACGGCAACTCCAACACCAAGATCATCTACATTTGCAGGTACCCATAACCATAGCTATAGCTAGCCATCCCTTATTCGTTATATTGTTATTGGTACTCCCTCTATCCCAAAATAAGTGCAGTTTTGCACTATTCACGTTCAACGTTTGATCGTTCGTCTTATTTGAAAACTTTTTATAATTAGTATTTTTATTGCTATTAGATGATAAAATATGAATAATATTTTATGTGTGACTAAATATTTTCAAAATTTTCAAATAAGACATACGGTCAAACGTTGGACACGGATATCCACGGCTGCACTTATTTTGGGACGGAGGTAATATTATTTTACTAAGGGGAATCTTAGTTTTGAATCATATCCGGTCGTTTTCGTTTTTGTACACCAGCCGAAATTTATACATATCAGATTCAAATATTAGCTGCTCTCATCTCAAATCTCATGTGTGAAAACTTTAAACTAATTTTGGAAATGGTATGTATTTCTCCCTTAAAAATGAGTATTTTGCCATATGGCCGTTAAATAGAGATTTTTTATTTCCCAAAGAAAAGCGTTAGGAAGAAAGATGGTACATGACCACGTGCTGTGCTATGTGTGATACAACTGCGTAGTATTATTATGACAGAACGGGACCCTCTACCAAATATGGTGATGTAGCATGTTTCCTATTTGGTTATTGCAGGATCTAGATTAGCTGGTACTTTGTTGTCATTATTTAACATTGTATTTTTCTATAAGTAAAGTACATAAAACCCTACTATTATGGTGTAAGTTACGTAAAACTATAAGGATTTTGATACGTGGCACATCACACCGGATATTATGGTTCTAAAATTTCATAAAACCGTACTATTGAACATTTTGATTTTTGATCAACCACACCTTTTAGTTCTACAATTACAATTTAAATTTTTGAGAATTTTATTCATCATATAAATGTTTTGTCCACTTTTTAAAATCTTGATATAGGAGCACATTAAAATGGTTACACATAATACTTGAGATTATGTGTCACATGCCAAAATCTCTATGGTTTTGTACAACTTGAACCATAATAGGTGGGGTTTTATAGAATCTACTCTTTTCTATACAAGAAGATAAACGCACAATTACAACCATGACCTTGGTAAGAGCCCCTTCAAAGCAAAAAGAAATCCCCTTCCACACCCACTCCCCTCCGTCTGAGAGTCATCCTTGCAGTATTGGTAGATGGTGTCTTTCACTGGTGCCATTATCCTCCTACAAGAGTTCAAGGTGATGAGGTCAAATAATTGGCTTCCCTTTTCCTTATATCCATATCGATGGAGAGGCAGTTCATGTTTTTCTATAGTGTCGCAAGCTTCTAGTCCCTCTGTTCTGAAATATAATTATCTTTGCCCCCTCTTGTATGTCCCAAAATAAGTTCATCTTTGAGTCATCATTGCATTGGATTTTATGAAAGTAGGGGACAAATGCATTAATTGTAATTAGGTAAGTAGGGGACTGATAAAGTAGAGGGTATTCTAGTCTTTTTGCTTTGTATTAGTATGCAAGAGTTCGGTGAAAAACAAACTTATTTTGTCTCCCTTGCAATGAGTCATGATGCTCTAGACCATGGTGCCCTTTGAGAAGTAAAGAGCCCCGTGTCTCGTGTGTTAGCTTGTTGGACTTGTTCAACAACCTCGATCTCTACCCTAGGAAAAAAATATTGTTCTTACATACTTGATCCAAACATTGTCCAAAATTTCATGAATTCGCAAAAGCAAGTCCTGGATACAATATGTATATTTAGAAAGAGAGAAATTGCAAACCAAAATCCAAAACATTTATTCACATAGTATTAACTTTAGTGACAATGAAACATTGCTTTACTCTAGCTTGTTATATTTTGTAGGGACCAGAAAGATAGATTGGTCTCCATCTGGCACTTTCGGAAACGCAATGTGCCAGATCTGTTGCTCCAAGAAGTGTATGAGTCTATATGTGATGGCACTGGGTTTGCTGGTCCTGTCTGGGATCACTTGCTTGGTTACTGGAGGGCAAGCAAAATAGATCTAGGCCGAGTGCTCTTCTTGAAATATGAGGAGGTGCTTCGAGACCCAGTGAACACCGTTAGAGAGCTCGCACAATTTGTCGGGCAGCCATTCTCTGACACAGAGGAAGAAGCTGGCATTGTTGCGGAGATCGTCAAGCTATGTAGCCTAGAGAGTCTAAGGAGCCAGAAAGCCAACAAAGAAGGCATACAAGGTGTGTACATCAAGTTCTCGCACGACTCGTATTTTAGGAAGGGGGTGGAAGGGGACTGGAGGAACCACATGACTCCTAAGATGGGCGAACATCTGGATTCGATTATGCGAGAAAAGTTTGATGGATCGGGGCTCACCATATGATGCGCCATTATGGCCGGGGTTTCATCTTTTAATTTGTAGTCACAGTTTTCAAGCTATGTGTTTCATAATAAAACAAAGCCTCCTAGCCTGTTTGGAGGCTTAACTTTAACTGTTTATGCTTATAAACAGGTACATCTATGACCTATGTAATTTTCGGTGCACCAAATAAAATCCTTCCGATGCTACCCATCGTTTTTGTCAATCACCATAGGCAACCATCTTTTTTGTTAATTATTGTAATTAACCTCTGTTTAGGTAAATGCTGCAGTTACATTCGATCTGTCACTACTATAGGAACTCACTTTTGTGTCAGTTGGGAACCGGTCTTTGGTGTCAAATTCACAACCGGCACCCTTCATGTGACACTGATGTGGAGAATGGTCTAGAAATTGGTGCTTTTGAGATTCCATGAATAAAAAAAATGCTCGATGCATCGGCTCGAATCGAACATATGCTACGAGCCAAGAACACATACAAAAACTGAATGGAAGATTCTCACAAATCCAATGACAATGTATCAGAATCATCCCAGAAATTACACACATAACATTCACGACCTCCCCCCTCAAAGAAAAAAATATTTACAAATCAACACAAGGATGCCTCCATTGCCTCATCCCAGCGGAGACCAAGGCCACCACCACCCATCGGAGGCCAAAGCCACCTTTGCCGCTACTGCTCACCACCACTACTCAGATCCAGAAGACCACAGTCAGATATAAGGGGTGGTGGGAGAGATCAGGGAGGGGAATTTTTTGGGAGGAGGGGTATTGGTTAGTCATGTGGATCGCCACCACCGCTGCTTGTGGGGAGGTGGGGCCGAGGGGAGGATGCTGATGCTGCCCCACCGAGGGGAGGTCACTGTTGCTCGTTGTCGCTCGTCATGGTCGACAGTGATAACTAGGGGAGGGAGGAGGGCAGATCTAGAGGTTCCTGAACTCGGACAATCTAGATATGGCATCGGTGCCACCGCCATCGCCAATGACGATGAATCCGTCTGCGGGAACTGAGGCTGTGGCCATGGTGAGAGGATAACCTAATGGCTTGTTCGCCGCAATCGTCGTGTCACTGGGAGAGGCAGGCTGCCGCCTTTACGTGTTGGGGTGTCATCGTAGCGTCGCAGGCTAGGATGCTGAGAGGTGGAGAGGAGTAAAGAGTGAGAGACAATGAGAGAAAAGATGAAGATTATCTTAGGTGGAGGCTTAGAGGGTTTGAGAGAGACGGATATAAGAAAGGAATGGACGAGGTCACGAGGAGATATGGCGTATGTCTATGTGATTTTTTTTCCGCTGGTGCTGCTGCTCCAATAATGTGCCAAAAAACCTAGCACATATGACATCTTTATTTGTACTGCTTTTATTAAAGAAAATCAGGCACTTGTATTATACGTGTTGGTTTTTAGAAAAATTGGCACGTTATAGGTGTTGATTTTTAATTTAAGAATTTACGAAGGATAGGAAAGGCCTTGTAGATAGAGGATGTCCCCAATTTGTGGTTTTCTAGTAGTGTGTTCTAGGGATCTTGCAGCGTATGCTGGAGCTTGTAACTAGCTTAATTACCACCGTACTTCCTCCGTTCCACTTCGATCATCATTTTTTTCTCTCTCTCATTTTTGTATTTGATGTATTTATTTTGGAGCATGTTAAAAAAGGTTTACCATAATACATCTTGATTTGTCATCTAAATCAGCAGTTTTAGCTATATCCACGCACATGTGCCAAATTAATTACATGTGCCAAATTACTAGAACAAATCCTGTAACACACACATGCCAATTTGATACACAAATCCACGAACAGTATGCAAACAGCTGCTTTGCCTCCACACAATTAGTAAGAATAAAAACATAGCTCATGAAAATTTAGATCTAGCTATCAGTGAAAATGGGAAAAATAGAAGCCCCAACTCAGCGGAGGCGCAATGACATGTTCTTCATGTAGGCTGCGAGCAGTATATACTCCCTCCATCCCATAAAAAACCAAATCTAATACTGGATATACTTCCTCCATCCCATAAAAACCAAATCTAATACGGGATATGACACATTTTAGTACAACGAATCTGAATGTATCACATCCAGTCTTAGGTTCGTTTTATTTTGGACGGGAGGAGTATTTTTTTTAAGAAGGATATTTTTTACCCGGATTCTGCATCCAACCGGATATATGCAGCCTTTTTAAATTAGGAACTTAGCCTATCAAATAAGGAACTTGCCCTCTAATAACTCAATCTAAAATTCGCTCATATGGAAATTTGAAGTTAGGACCTTGGGTGCTACTCAGATCACTGCAACCACTAGGCTATATGCCCTTTCACGGACGGGAGGAGTATATATCATCTCCATATTAATTGCAGATGTGTGAATTAATTAATTACTTCCCTCCCTCCCTTAAGATGACTCATCATATGGGGCTTGGGCAATAACACTAGCATACTTAGTAATCTATATTAAATTTATAAATCCTGTATAAACTTATAGGATTTATAGGATTTATAGGATTTATGACTTCATAAACAAGTACATGGATATGGCATAAAGGCTTCCATTGTCGAAGACCTGGTCCTTTATTCTTCTCAAAAGAAAGAATTAGAGGTTGAATTTTTCTAGCTTATATTTCAATGAACAGTATACTGGATTGATTGTTGACATTACACTTAGTTAGTTTAGTCATCTTGAATTGGGAAATATATATGAAGTTAGTTGAATTCTTAAGTAAGCTGAAACAGTTTGCCTTAATTTACTAAATTTGTCTTAGGGTGCAGTAATCATTGATGATAGACTTCTAGAAAGCATTTTATATAGTATGCGCATCTCTCCAAAGCAAATGATATCCACAGCCATCTTGCAGCAATGTGTGGGGAATCATTATGTATTTATGCCAGATAGCTAGTCCATTATCCCATTACATCAGTAACCAGAGTAACTCTAACAATTACCAAAATACAAGCTACATTGTGATTAACCGAATTAGGGAAATTACAATTAAAGGGTTTTCCTTGGTGCCCTGGAAATTACAAAGTTATAACCGTTTTACAAGCATAAAAGGTTACAGACTATACTTCCAAACAACACCATTATTTCAATACATGGAGAAAAGGTTCAACAAGAAAAAAAACAATCCAACGTTTTTTGCGTACTACTATATATTGTTAAGCATAAATTAAAAGACGAAACACACGTAAAACTAAATGCATATTCAGATAGTGAGTCCTGACCCATCAAACTTGTCCCGGAGAATCGCATCCAGACGTCTTCCCATCTCAGGGGTCATGTGGCTCGTCCAACCCCCTGCCACCCCCTTCCGGAAATACGAGTCGTGAGAGAACTTGATGAACACACCTTGGGCGCCTTCCTTGTTGGCCTTCTGGCTCATGAGATTCTCCATGCTACAGAGCTCTACGATCTCCGTGACAACACCAGCTTCTTCCTCGGAGCTAGTGAATGGCTGCCCGACGAACTCGGCTAGCTCCCTGATGCTGTCTGTTGGGTCTTGAAGCAGCCGCTCATATCTAAGGAAGAGCACCCTGCTTGGGTTCGCTTTGCTTGCCCTCCAGTACTCGAGAATGTGATTCCAAACAGGGCCCCCGAAGCATGTGCCCTCGCAGAAGGACTCGTACAGATTTTGTAGCCCATTGCGCTTCAGGAAGTGCCACATGGAGACCAATGCATCCTTCTGATCCCTGCACATGTACATTTATATGTTTTGACAGCTCCTTCTTTTTTATTGCAAAAAAAAGGAATAAGACTTAACAATGGTGTTTTAACAAATAGCAAAATCGAAAAACTACGTAACTACAGTTCAAACCTGGTTACCACCTAGCTAGTTATTGCATTGGACGAAGATTATGAGGCATATCTGTATTTTGGGGTACCTAGCTCAATTAAGGCTGGACATTATATGTTAAACTTTAATTTGTCTTTAGATCGATCGATGTGCTCTTTTTTTAATTACACATGGCATGCTGCAGTGATTATATTATAGTGTTCGATGTGTGTGCTCTAATACTTTATTCACGATGCAATTATCAAATTGTGGTTTGGATTTTTGATGAATGATAGGAGTAAAACATTGTTGATCATGATGTGTTCCATGAAAACGATGAACATATATCATATGAGAATTATATTTGTCACAAGCAACTTGTTAATTTTTGCCTTTTTATGTCTTTCAGTGATCTAGGTTCTTCGCACATGCACCAAGCAAAATTTGAAAATGGTGGTATTATTCCATCCCACTTGTTTACATTAACAATCTTAGTTAATTATCACTTCATCATGGTACAAATATAATGGGCCGCAAATTGAATATTATATATATCGACATGTCTATCTATATATACCACACACATATACAGAAAGAGAAAGAGAGAGTATGTGTATAAGATCTTATGTATTTACTCCCGGTCTGTTGATGAGAGAGATTAAAGAGGAATATATGTGCCCAAATTATGGCTATATATAGAGGTTGTTTAATTATATACACCCTCCATTTGATATATAAGTAGTTTGACTTTTTTATTAGTCAAATTTCTTTAGGTCACATTTATAACATTAAATTAGTTTTATTAAATTTAACATTGAATATATTTTGATAATATGTTTGTTTTATATTAGAAATATATATATATATATATATATATATATATATATACACACACACACTTATAAACTTAATAAAGCTTAAGAGAGTTTAACTAATAAAAAAATCAAACAACTTACTCCCTCCGTTTCAAAATATTTGACACCGTTGACTTTTTAGCACATGTTTGACCGTTCGTCTTATTTAAAAATTTTGTGAAATATGTAAAACTATATGTGTATATGAAAGTATACTTAACAATGAAATAAATGATATGAAAAGAATAAATACTTATTTAAATTTTTTGAATAAGACGAATAGTTAAACACGTACTTAAAAAAATCAACGATGTCAAACATTTTGAAACGGGGGGAGTATAATATAAAAAGTGTGGTGTGTATCTGTCCGATTAATTACCTGAAGGACACACAGTAGCTAGCAACTTTGGTCGAGCTAGCCCATGCATATATCAGTCCCATTCCGTCGACCGTCCTTATTGTAGCTAACAAATATCCGGTACACCTAATTGATATGACAACACCCAGTCACCTACTTCCACGTTAATTGTCCAATTCTATCACGTAGCTAGCACAAGTACGCCTTGCGCTGTACTAACACTACTACAATACCCTCCAGTCGCTCTCTCCCTCCCCGTTCTCTCTCTCTCTCTCCCCCTCATCATATTTTGTTTGCACATATATATAATAACGACATGATTCTATATATTCTTCTCTGCCCATTGTTATTCATCACAGAAATCACAATTATTAACACTACTACAATACCCCTTATTGATATCGATTCATAGGTGTCGGTCGACATTTAAAACCGTTACCTACGGATATTTTCTCACATTTGCACGATGAAAAAAATATAGAACATACACCTTTGAGTAATATAAATGTCAGTTCTAAAGAAAAAATCAGCATAATATTTTCAAATGAACTAGGACCTATAATATATTGTAATATATTGTAGGTACTGGTTAATAATTAAAAAAGAACCTATAATATATTATATGAACTGATTTTTTAATTAACTATTACCCATAAAATTGACGGAGCCAAGCCACTTTCTTATCCACATCTTTCACACATCTATCCTCACATTTTCTCCCTACTTTTCTCCCTACCCCGTACTCCTTGTCCACATCTTTTGCACATCCCCACCACACGGGCCTTTCCTCCTCATCCATCTTCGTCCGCCGCCACTCCTCCCTCCTCTGCCTCCTCTTCCTCTCCCTGGTGACGCCCCTCCAAGTAATTCTGCCCCTCCTCCTCACCACTACCTCTAAGCCATGCTAGATCCGGCCGCCTGGAGGTCGGGGTCCGCCGAATCCGGCTACCACGCAGCAGTAGCACCGCTAGAAGGACCTGTCAACGTGGAACTCGCTGGTGGCACCGGGGCCGAGAATATCGACGAGGACAGCGCCGGCGTCAGAGCCAATGCCGAGGATAGACAAGCGGCGTACGGAGAAGAGTGGCTTCTGCCCCGTCGCAGCGCCATCCACGAGTAACCCGTCCTAGCGGTGGTGTAGGCTGGGGCAGCGGCGGTGGACGGTGAGCACGGGCTTGAGCAGCGCAAGGTCCCGTGCCGCTGCACACCCTGCCGGGCCTGTACATCTCCACCTTGAACGTCATCATCTGGATCCATCCTCCTTAAGGGGATCAAGCGGGAGCAGCACCGGTTTGTCGAGAGGCAGCAACTGCGATGATTTATTTTATTCTCCTCTCTGTGTATTCTCTATTGTTCTTTGATATTGATTTTGTATCTTAGTGTTGATTTCGTAATTGTGTTATTGGATGTGATGAGGGGATCTTATAGGAATGGTTCTTGGATGGGGATCAGTAGCTGCTCGATGTCGAGCAACCTTGCTTTATTTGTTCCTCACACCGGTGTTAGGTGGTAAGAACCGACACCTATGCGCAACTGCATAGGTGCCGACTACGGAAACCGATACCTATGACCAGTTTCTAACCGGTACCTATGACAGTTCAAGCAATATTGTAATAAGGGCATCAGGAAGGCACGGTTCTCATTGTTCCCTGTGGTATATCTATCTGTTTGCAAAGTTATCCTTATTTCATAGATAAGAGGTGTAACAATGATATATTATAACCTAAACTTAAAGTAATTTTACAAATACCATGAAATAATTTAATTAACAATTGGTAAAAAAAACAAAGTGAAATGCAAAAATAAAGTAAATCTATATACTACTACAATATATTTTTGTAGTTAAAATGAACTAAAATCGAACACATTAACATGGCACTACAAATTTATGATTAGCAATTAATGCATAATTTTAGGTGTTTGGAATTTTCAAATTTTCATGTGCCTAATATCTAGCTTTTAATATCCGGCACATTTGAGTTTAGACTTAATATTTGAATTCGGTATGAATTTTTTGCATTGTGGCCTACATAAGGATTTTGCGAAAGATGTAGCATCATTTTTTTTGTCCTATTAATTCAATCACTTTATTTTATTACCATTTACTCCACAATTGGTTATCTTCCTCATGTCATGTGTAAGTTAATAAACTAAGCCAGTATATAGGAGTACTTGCTAGCCAGTGTCCTCAAACTTTATCACGCACAAAGTCCCGGATACCTGCAAATGTAGATGATCTTACAGCCGGAGCTACCGTCGGCCACCGTCGCCGGCAGCAGCGACAGCGGCATGTGCGTGCACATCAGCCTCGGCGACGGCAGCTCGTCGAGAACCGCGTCGCGGCCGGGGGCGAAGAGCCTGTCGACGAGGGGCACGCAGTCGTGCGGGTTGAGGCGGCGGAGCGGGTGGTCGGGGCTCGCCGGCGGGTGCGCCGCCCGCGCCATGACGGCGAACGCGAGCGCCTTGAGCCACGTCGTCCCCGACTTGGGGAGGCTGGCGAGGAGGACGTCGCCGTCGGCGCGGGGCACGAGGCCGCCGCCGCCGCGCTGCATGGCGACCGCGCCGCGCGCCCAGGCGTCGAGCACCCAGTACCCCTGGTGCTGTCGCAGCTTCAGGTTGTGGAAGACGCGCGCCGGCATGGCGGACACGGCGGCGTCGTGCTCCGTGGGAGGGCGCACCGGGATGGCGTCGGCGTCGGCGGCGTCCTTGAACGCGACGGGCCCCAGCCCCGCGGCGGCGCCCCGCCCGTCGCGCGACGTCGCCGGCGCCGGCGCCGCTCCTCCTCCCGATGCCAGCATTACTTCTCCCGTGCTACCCATAGGCGGGATGGATGGCCAGTGTCGATGGAGTGAGCACGTAGAGTCTCATATATATAGCTGCTCCAGAGGAAAATTATGCGTTTTGGCCCCTGCAAAATTAGACGGGATTGCTAAAATTATGACACCATGCATATATTTTTCACTTAATTTTAGTCTTTTTATGTGATTACTCTCTTTCCTATATATATATATATCTTCTATATACTCTTTTAAGTTGATAATAATAAATTATTTTTTAATTCTAATTCTTTTATGTTAGAATAATTGGGCTAGGCCCAATTTATTCTATTAAATCTCAAAGGCCCATAATAAATGTTAAGGATAATAATACCACCTCAGGATTTAAGCGAGAAATATCTCAACCTAAATAGGGAGTTATTAGAGGCTCCCTGTTGACCAGTTGAGGTGGGGGTCAGAATGCCACACGCGCGCGCGCGCGGGCCGTGGGCGAGGCGTGGCTGGCGGCGTGCGTGCGTCACGTCACGTCGCTATCCTTTTGCAGCCACTAACCCACGTTCCCACGATTCCCTCCGTGCCTGAGTTGCTCTCTCGCTTCCCCGCTTCTGATCTCTTGCACGCACGAGAGATTGGCCTGAGATCTACACCGGGTAGGCGGGTGATCAGGTTTTTGGGGAGTGCCTCCCGCACGACTGCTCATCGCCATGTCTAGAGTTGCTGCCGCCTCTGTTGGCGGAGGTGATACGCCGCCGCCGACAGGAGCTGGTGCGCCAGGAGGAGGTGCCGTGAACGACTACAACAACGGAGGCAATTCTGCCTCACCATCCAGCGGAGGGCCATTCTCGGGGTATAATCTTCTCCTATACTATGTGCTTGTTCCTGTTCTACATGATGCCTCTAGCATGTTATCGCGTTACTGGTATGTTCCTGTTCTCGACATTCATGATGCGCATAGTATGCTACTGGTTATGTTAAGATCACCCTACACTACTTATGCCATGATCATTGTTTCTTTTTCTTGGATTAAAATATGCCGATTAATGACTATATTTCCAACAATCCAAAAACCTGATAGGTCATTTTCGGTAGTTGGCTTTGCTGCTGCACTGAAACCACATGCTTTTGATGGTTCAAACTATAAGAGATGGAAAGCACGTGCACTATTGTGGTAGACAGCGATGCAGTGCTTCTATGTTTCACGGGGCAAACGAAGTGAACCACCTCTTTCTCCTGAGGAAGAGGCTAAGTTCGAGGCTTCGGATTGCCTGTTCCGTGGAGCATTGATCAGTGTACTCGCTGACAACATAGTGGACGTGTACATGCACATGCCTTCTGGGAAGGACATGTGGGATGCACTCGAGGCCAAGTTCGGAGTCTCTGACGCCGGCAGTGAGCTGTATGTCATGGAGCAGTTCTATGACTACAAGATGGTCGATGACCGTTCTGTAGTAGAACAAGCTCATGAGATTCAGATGCTGGCTAAGGAACTTGAGAACAACAACTGTGAGTTGCCGGACAAGTTTGTGGCGGGTGGCATTATTGCCAAACTACCACCTTCTTGGTCGGACTTTGCCACTTCTCTAAAGCACAAGAGACAAGAGTTCAGTGTTCCTGATCTCATTGGCTCTTTGGGTGTTGAGGAGAAGGCGAGGGCAAAGGACATCCGGGGCAAAAAGGTTGAGGGAGGTTCTAGTGCCAATATGGTACAGAAGAAGAACCCTCATGCATCCCACAACAACAAGAAAGTCAAGCCTGATGTCAAACCCAAGGCTGCAACCAATTTTAAGAAGAAAGGCAAGGGAAAGGCAAAAGGAGACTGCTTTGTGTGTGGCAAGTCTGGGCATTGGGCCAAGGACTGTCCTGAGCGCAAAGACAGGAAGTCTGCCAACATGATCATTAGCGAGGGCGGAGGAACATCGGGGTACGGTAAAATATTACCTACAGTTCTCTCTGTTTTTCATTCACCTGATTGGTGGGTGGATACTGGTGCTAATATTCATGTATGTGCTGACATTTCTCTGTTTTCTTCTTATCAGGTCGGGAGAGGTTCCTCCTTGTTGATGGGAAACGGGTCGCTTGCGGCTGTTCATGGTGTTGGTACGGTCGATCTGAAGTTTACTTCGGGAAAGACCGTGCAGCTGAAGAACGTGCAGCATGTCCCTTCAATAAAGAAGAATCTAGTTAGCGGCTCTCTATTGTGTAGAGAAGGTTTTAGACTTGTGTTTGAGTCCAATAAATGTGTCGTATCTAAATATGGGACTTTTGTTGGAAAAGGTTATGACAGCGGAGGCTTGTTCCGCTTTTCTTTGAATGACATGTGTAATAATCATAATGCTGTGAACCATATTAGCGAGAATGATGAGTCTAATGTGTGGCATTCGCGACTCTGTCATGTGAATTTCGGTTGTATGACGCGCTTAGCTAACATGAGTTTAATTCCAAAATTCACTTTGGTCAAAGGTTCCAAGTGCCATACTTATGTTCAATCGAAACAACCTCGCAAGCCTCACAAGGCATCTGAGGCGAGGAATTTGGCACCTCTAGAACTTGTTCATTCCGATTTGTGCGAAATGAACGGCGTGTTGACTAAAGGGGGAAAGAAATATTTCATGACACTGATAGATGATTGCACTAGATTTTGCTATGTGTATCTATTGAAAACAAAGGATGAGGCATTGCATTACTTTAAAATCTATAAAGCTGAGGTAGAAAACCAACTTGAAAGGAAAATCAAACGGTTGAGGTCTGATAGAGGTGGGGAGTATTTTTCCAATGAGTTTGCATCTTTTTGCGAAGAGTTTGGAATTATTCATGAGATGACGCCTCCCTATTCACCCCAATCAAATGGGGTGGCCGAAAGAAAGAACCGTACTCTAACTGAGATGGTGAATGCCATGTTAGACACTGCGGGGCTTTCGAAGGAATGGTGGGGTGAGGCAGTTTTGACTGCGTGTCATGTCCTGAATAAAATTCCAATGAAGCATAAGGAAGTAACACCATTCGAGGAATGGGAAAGGAAGAAATTAAATCTCTCATACCTACGAACATGGGGCTGTTTGGCCAAGGTAAATGTACCTATAGTCAAAAAGCGGAAACTTGGACAAAAAACCGTTGATTGCGTGTTTCTTGGTTATGCTATCCACAGTGTGGGTTATAGATTCTTAATAGTAAACTCTGGAGTACCCGACATGCATGCTGGTACAATTTTTGAGTCCAGAGATGCTACATTCTTTGAGAATGAATTTCCTATGAAATATACACCTAGCACTTCTAGTAAAGAAACTGTCATGCCCCATGAGCACTTTGCACCGATAGAACACAATGATGAAACGCCTGAGGAAAATCCTGAGGAGGACAACATTGTAGATACTCGCAAGAGTAAGAGACAAAGGGTTGCAAAATCCTTTGGAGATGACTACATTGTATACCTCGTGGATGACACCCCAAGAACCATAGAAGAGGCATATTCATCTCCTGACGCTGACTACTGGAAGGAAGCAGTACGCAGTGAAATGGACTCGATTATGTCTAATGGTACTTGGGAAGTCGTTGAGCGTCCATATGGGTGCAAGCCCGTAGGATGCAAATGGGTTTTCAAGAAAAAGCTTAGGCCTAATGGTACAATCGAAAAGTACAAGGCAAGGCTTGTGGCCAAGGGTTATACCCAAAAGGAAGGCGAGGATTTCTTCGACACATATTCACCAGTTGCTCGCTTGACTACGATTCGAGTACTACTTGCTCTGGCAGCCTCTCATGGTCTTCTCGTCCATCAGATGGACGTTAAGACAGCTTTCCTAAACAGAGAGCTGGAGGAGGAGATCTATATGGATCAACCAGACGGGTATGTACTAGAAGGTCAGGAGGGAATGGTGTGTAAACTATTGAAATCCTTGTATGGCCTCAAGCAAGCACCTAAGCAATGGCATGAGAAGTTTGACATCACGCTTACATCTGCAGGCTTTGTTGTGAACGAAGCTGACAAATGTGTATACTATCGCTATGGTGGGGGAGAAGGGGTGATCTTGTGCTTGTATGTCGATGACATACTGATCTTTGGGACCAGCCTTAATGTGATTGAGGAGGTCAAAGACTATCTGTCTAAGAATTTTGAAATGAAGGATTTGGGAGAGGCTGATGTTATTCTTAACATCAAACTACAAAGAGGAGATGAGTGTGGGATTACACTTGTGCAATCCCACTATGTGGACAAGGTTTTGAGTCTCTTTGGATATAGTGACTGCAAGCCAGCTCCTACTCCTGATGATCCCAGCGTGCTATTCAGGAAAAACCGAAGAATAGCAAGGGATCAGCTGAGATACTCTCAAATCATTGGTTCATTGATGTACTTGGCTAGCGCAACGAGGCCTGACATCTCATTTGCTGTAAGCAAGCTGAGCCGGTTTGTCTCAAATCCGGGAGATGATCATTGGCAGGCTCTGGAAAGAGTAATGCGCTATCTAAAGGGCACTATGAGCTATGGAATTCACTATACCGGGTATCCAAAAGTACTAGAAGGGTATAGTGACTCAAACTGGATATCTGATGCTGATGAGATAAAAGCCACAAGTGGATATGTGTTCACACTTGGAGGTGGCGCTGTTTCCTGGAAGTCTTGCAAGCAGACCATCTTAACGAGGTCAACAATGGAAGCAGAACTTACAGCACTAGATACTGCGACAGTTGAGGCCGAGTGGCTTCGTGAACTCCTGATGGATTTGCCGGTGGTTGAAAAACCAGTGCCAGCTATCCTAATGAACTGCGATAATCAAACAGTGATTATTAAAGTGAACAGTTCAAAGGACAACATGAAGTCATCTAGACACATCAAGAGAAGACTGAAATATGTCAGAAAGCAGAAAAACTCCGGAGTGATAGCATTGGACTATGTCCAAACGGCTAGAAATCTGGCAGATCAGTTTACCAAGGGGCTACCACGTAATGTGATAGACAGTGCATCGAGGGAAATGGGCTTGATACCCACCTAAGGTTGCATAATAGTAGAAACCTGTCCATTGTGATCGGAGATCCCGTGAATTTGGATGGTGAAACAAACTATTGTGTGACTGAGAGAAGAGACCCTTGAAAAGAGCTCATTTCCATGATGTGCTTCTCTTCTTTCCTGCATGGTAGGATGGCTTATGTCTTAATGTGATCCGAGTGGCTTTTCCAAGCAGAGATGTTGACCTGCAGAACATCTCAGAAGGAACACACCTATATGAGTTCGACTGCTAGTCACAGTCTATGAGGTTTGGGCAATCTCTAGATACTCATGAAAGGCCTGGAGTTTGACTTATATGCTCCAAACAGAGGGGATGCGAACGGCAGCCCAGT